GCTGAGGAATTCTGGGAGTTGAAGTCCACAAGTCATCAAAGGGCCAAGTTTGAAGACCCCCAGTCTATAGCAAGGGGGTCCCCAAGCCTTTTCTTTCATTACCCCGAAACGCTTTACCAGAAAATCTTATCAAACTTCAAAGACCAGTGCCTTAGCAGGGGGTTGGACTAGATGACCTCCAAGGTCCCTTCCAACTTTTTTATTATTATTATTATTATTATTATTATTATTATTATTATTATTATTATTATTATTATTATTATTATTATTATTATTATTATTATTATTATTATTATTATTATTATTATTAATATTAATATTAATATTAATATTAATATTATTATTATTGGATCCTGGATCTTTATTTGGATACTTAAGCGGGCTGTTGATAGTAGGGTGTAGGTCTATCCATATGTTCTATATAGTATGTTTTAAATGTGTTATGTATATGTATACTTTGAGAGGAAGCAACTAAATTTCATTTTTAATGTGTGCCATTGTGCCCACAGGAAAAAAATGACAATAAAGGTTATCTATCTATCTATCTATCTATCTATCTATCTACCTACCTACCTACCTACCTACCTACCTACCTACCTACCTACCTACCTACCTTAATGATCGTTCAAAGTTAAAACAGGGTCCGCAAAAGTACTTATGACCTGGTTATGGGGTTCTGAAGGCGGCACCCTCACCCCACAGTTACATGACCACATTTCATGCTTTTCGCAAATCATGTTTACATCCAGTTACAGAATTCCGCAGTCACGTGATCACGGTTTATAATGCCCATGCTTTAGGACCAATGTGTTTGCTTGATGATTGCCACAAAAGAGGGACAATTGGGTCAGGCAAGTGGGGTTCCTCGACTTACGACATGGAAATCCCAGGCTCCATTATGGTCGTAAGTCGAGGACTACCTGTATGGATTTCAGTAGAAAGGTCAATTACAGGTAGTCTTACAACAGCTCATTTACTGTCCGTTTGAAGTTACAATAGCACTGAAAAAAGGGACTTAAGACCATTTTCACACTTATGGCTGTTGCAGCATCCCCATGGTCACGTGATCAAAATTCGGACAATTGACAACCGACTCATATTTATGGCGGTTGCAGCATTCCCGGGGTCACGTGATCCTCTTTTGCGACCTTCGGACAAGCAAAATCAATGGGGAAGCCAGATTCACTTAACCAGGATACTAACTTAACCACTGCAGTGATTCACTTAACAACTGAGGCAGGAAAGATCGTAAAACGGGGCAAAACTCACAACAACGGTCCCGCTTAACAATAGAAATGTTGAGTTCCGTTGTGGTGATAAGTCGAGGACTACCTGTATCTTGCAACTGCATTTACAAGGATTAGTAGAAGGAGCCAGGCTCACCTAAGGGTGGGTACTGGGAGAAGCTCTCCACACACATCGGCTTCCCAGGGATCATCTCCACGATCGCGGCGTCTCCAGATTTCAAAGATTTGGGATTGTCTTCCAGCTTCTTGCCAGAACGTCGGTCGATCTTCTCCTTAAGCTCGGCAAATTTGCAAGCGATGTGGGCAGTGTGGCAGTCAATGACAGGCGAATAGCCAGCGCTGATCTGTCCAGGATGGTTCAAAATGATCACCTGTTTGGCAAAAAATAAAATAAATAAATATATAAGAATCACCCAATTAGCCTGGATCGAAGAAGATACGTGATGCTTAAAATGATTGCATTCCCCCTGCATTCTTGGGGTTTTTTTTTACCCCTTCATTTGTGTTGTTCCATTTTGTGATTTTATAATAATAATATAGTTGGAAGGGACCTTGTAGGTAATAATAATAATAATAATAATAATAATAATAATAATAATAATAATAATAATAATAATAATAAAGTTGGAAGGGACCTTGGAGGTCATCTAGTCCAACCTCCTGCTCAGGCAGGAAACCCTATATCATTTCAGACAAATGGCTGTCCAGTCTCTTCTTAAAAACTTCCAGTGTTGGAGCATTCACCGCTTCTGGAGGCAGGTTGTTCCACTGGTTAATTGTTCTCACTGTCAGGAAGTTTCTCCTTAGTTCTAGGTTGCTTCTCTCCTTGATTAGTTTCCATCCGTTGCTTCTTGTCCTGCCTTCAGGCGCTTTGGAGAACAGCTTGACTCCCTCTTCTTTGTGGCAGCCCCTGAGATATTGGAAGGCTGCTATCATGTCCCCACTCGTCCTTCTCTTCATTAAACTAGACATAATTGTGAATATGTTGTCCACCAGTGTTTCTCAACCTCCGCCATTTTTAAGACGTGTGGACTTCAACTCCCAGAATTCCCCAGCCAGCCATGCTGGCTGGGGAATTCTGGGAGTTTCAGTCCGCACGTCTTGAAGTGGCCGAGGTTGGGAAACATAGTTGTACATTGCTCAGAGCCAGCTTCCATTAGATGGACAGCTATATAAATCTATTAAATTAATCAATCGATCGAT